AAAGAAAGGCTGGCGGTCGAAAGATCCAAAGCGGAAAAAGCAGCTGAGTTGGAACGAGAGAGGTTAGCAGCTGAGAGGGCCAAGGAAGAAAAAGCAGCTGAGTTGCAACGAGAGAGGTTGGCAGCTGAAATGGCGAAAGAAGAAAGAGAGGCAAAGGAGCGACAGTTGAGAGAAGAAAGAGAGCAGCAATTGAAGTTGGAGCTGGAGAGAGAAAAGTTGGCAGCTGAAAGGGCGAGAGAAGAAAGAGAAGCAAAGGAGCGACAGCTGAAAGACGAAAGAGAAACAAAGGAGCGACAGCTGAAAGAAGAAAGAGAAGCGGAGGTGGCTGAAAGGGAATGGCAGCAACAGCACGAGTTGGAACTCGAGCGGCTCCGTTTGCAACAGCGAAGTGAAACTCCGGTCCAAGTTAGAGTTGAAACCAGCGAACGGGAGGAGCATGGCTTCCGCTTGAACCCAAGCAAGCTGCTCGTGGCATTTGATGAAAGGAAGGACGATCTTGACGCGTACCTTCACAGATTTGAGACGATTGCAAGGAGCCAGAATTGGCCGGAATATCAATGGGCAACTGCTTTGAGTACTTGCTTGAGTGGTGAAGCACTCAGTGTGTACGGCAGGCTGACGCCGACCGATGCAGCGAACTACGCAAAGGTGAAAGCTGCTTTGCTGAAACGATTTAGATTTACTGTGGAAGGATTCCGGGACAGATTTCGGACAGGAAAGCCAGCTGATGGGGAGACGGCTACGCAGTATGCCGCCCGACTTAGCCCTTATTTCGACAGATGGATTGAACTTTCAGGGACAGTGCAGGAGTACGATGAGCTTAGAGAGCTCCTAATCAGAGAACAATTTCTTAGTAGTTGCCACCCAAGCCTGTCGCTGTACTTGAAAGAGAGGAAGGCTGAGTCACTTGAAGGAATGCTTGAATTGGCTGATCAATTCTTGGAAGCGCAAGGTGGAACTAATTTGGCCAAGGTCAAGAAGGATTGTCCCGGTGATTCGAAGAAATTGGCTCCCGAAGAAAAGAAGCGTGCACCAGAGAGCACTCCGCGTTGTTTTCTGTGTAACCGAGTGGGTCATCGCGCGAAAAACTGTCGAACGATCTTTACGAGCCCTACGGTAGTAAAATGTTTTAAGTGTGGTCAGACTGGGCACAAAGCAGACGCATGTCCAAACGGAGCGAGTCAAACTCACCAGGTATCCTGTGTGCAAGCGGCACCGAAATCCGATAATAATGCCGTCACCGATGGATTCGTAGAGTTGAAGAATGGGGAGAAAATTCCTATTGTGGGTGCTGTAATGTCAAAACAGCCTACCGTTGTTACGAAGCGAATGCCAACGCTGCCTGGAAAGGTTTCGGCAAGAAGATTACGGTGCTAAGAGACACCGGTAGCTCCACGATTATCGTGCGGAGGAATTTGGTACGGAAAGTGAGTTGACAGGCAGAACGAAACCGGTTTGCCTAATTGACCGTACGGTCCGGATGCTTCCCGAAGCAGAGATTGAGGTTGAAACCCCGTACTTCAGCGGGAAGGTTACTGCTTTATGCATGACGACCCCCCTTTACGACCTTGTCATCGGAAACATCGCCGGGGCGCGAGGACCGAATGATCCGGAATGTTTGGGAGAAGACCCTAAGACAGAGCCCTCGCCAACCCAGCGACCGCGAGATACAATGGAGGAGCAGCCCGTGGCGGATCTCACTAGAGCCCAAGGTGAAGCCGCGGCTCAAGAGACAGCGAATGAGAAGATGATCGTGTTGAATGAGTTCACGGGCCAAGCAACTGGACTTACATCGGCACGACCTCTACCGACCGACAGTGTAAAGGAGACGGAGTTGGCCAGCCGGGCAAAATGTAGAGACATGATCAAGCTGGTAAATAAACCGACACGACCTGTCGAATGTTATGACCCGTTAACGGTGTCGAAAGTGACAACGATGGCTGAGACGCTGCCTCAAATACCGTCGTTGGAAGGGGCTCGCCGGAACCAAACGAGCAGAAACAATAAGAAGAGATCGAGAGAGCACCGCAAGAAAGGGCGCAAGCGCCGCTCGAAATACACAGTATAGGTGCTGAGGTAGAATGGTAGAATCGGATTGTGTTTGGCAGGGCTGAGTGCCATATGTTGTGTTAATGTTCTTGTTGTCCTGTGTCGTAACTGTATGTTGAGTGAGTCAAAATGTTTGTTTCGGTGATGTGATGTATAGTACTGATGTGAGTATAGTAATTGTTGTAATGAGAGAACTTTGTACGTTTGTATTGTTCGGAATGTGTGATGAAGTGTTGTAGTCATGTACCTGTGGCTGTATTTCATGTGTCATGAGATTGAATTACAATGTACAATTGTCTTGAGTGATCTGTTGTGAATGTGACGTGTCATAAGCGACGGACTATGTTACAGTCTTTGAGAGTGTGTGGTGACTATTCGCGCTCGTTTGTTAATATTACGAGATAATATTCTTAAAGTGGGGGGCAGTGTCACAGAACGAGCGCTAAACATGGGCGCGCCGCCAAATTCTTGCGATAACGCGCGGGAGAGCGCCGCGAGGTCAAAAAAAAGAAAAAAAAAGAAAACAAACATCCAAGGCTCCCCGGGCGCGCGACTCTCTCCCCTCGGAAGCGTGGCTTCGCGGACGAACCTCCTCACCCCACATCGGGGGCCGAGAAAGCACTGGAAATTTCTAGAAGGAAAGGGGCGTGTTCTGCCGGGTTGAGTCATCGGTCGGGGACGGCCCTCGTACAGTCTCGCGCCTCTCCCCAGCCTTCGCTGCGTATCGCGCCGACGAAATGACGAGAACTTTCTGGAATGTCGTGGGGAAGGTATTTAACCGAGCAGTGGAGACGTGAGGTTTCCTGGAAGAGAAACTTCGCAGGAGAAGACGGAAGTTAGTGCCAGAGCGCGTAGGGATTCCGCCGTGTAGTCGGCGAAGGTTTTGTCCGTAGAGACAAAGCAGGAGAAGAAGATGATTTCCACCTGAGGGGTGAAGGCTCGAGCTACAGGCAAGAGAGTGTGTTTACTGCTATCGAGCGAAGACGCGTGGCGACAGCTGCGTGTGTGAAGCCGACGTGTTCGGGCGAAGAAGTTTGAAGCTTGGAGAGTGGCCAATTGAAGACGCGAGGTTTCCTGGAAGAGAAACTTCGAGGGCGCGGAACGACAACAACGCTGGACTTTGAGTGAGTGATTCTCGGAAGAGTATCATCCAGACTTTTGTTCCAAGAACTTTGGACTGGATAGGTTTTCTATCTCTTTAGTCTTTAAGTGTCTTGGTTGTTCAATGCATGCGACTGCATTGTAGAGCGTATCGTTGTCTGTGTCCATTGTTTTGAGTGTGGCTGATTGTACTGTGTAGTACGTTGTTTGATTGGTGACGTATTGTATGTAACTATTGTGGAGTGTGCATTCTTGTGTATTGTTTTCGATCTGCCATTTTTGAGAATATAATATTTGTTTTGTTTATCAACTCTCGGCTCTGACTTGTTCCTTGGGCCACAACCGGCGTCCGCTGGCGCGCCAAAAAGGACCACTTCTAAATTGTCCACGCTTTCGTGGTGCGGTTCGGGGGCCAATACTTCGGCCCTTGGAATTAGCCCGGCGATCGCCTCCCTAATTAACGGGACCTGTATGACAGCATAAAAGTACGCTTTCTTTTGTTTATACATACAAAATTAGCCCAATCACACAGACGTTCCCTATTCAAGCCTGTTCTAAAGCCCCAAGAAATATGATGAGAATTAAAGTCCTCGCTAATTTATATTTTTGGCAATATGAAACTGAAGTATCCTGAACAGCAGCATTCTTCACACCCTATGAAAAATATGTATTAATTGACAAGAATGAGAGGAATCCCAGAATAGCAATGTGTAACGCTAGAATCTAACTTTTTGAAGTTGATGACTGATATGTAATTTTAGCTCTATGAGCAATTCTAGACGGTATAAATACTGCCAAACCAGCGCCCCGAGAAAGTTGGTTTAAACAAAACAAGCGGTAATTTTTTTTATTTTAATGCACTTTTCATCTGTAAGGCGATTTCCTTGTAAAACAGCATCACCTGGAGAATAATAATCTCAGAGATAAAATAAAGCAGTAGCTCCTGGAAAAATAGATAAGTGATTTCACTGTAATACAGTTAAACTACCGATTTTGGCGAAATGCTAACGACATCCTCTGCTTTCTACAAGACTTCAACTTTTAAAAAATGCTCTTATAACGAATTTTTTCCGGTATTTATTCTTCTTTGATTTCAGTTTCACGGCGACACCTTATTTTTAGGCTGCATTTGGTTTCTTTTTTGGTCAAAGTTTATTTGTTCCAGTTGCGAGTGAGCCATAGAGCGTGCCTTTTTTGTTTTCAATAGAGCAGTGGGGAGTAGTAGAGTCCACGTAATTTTGTGGCACGCATTGATTCACGATGACAGTTTTTCGCAGCCATCATTGCCTTTCCCGTTGCGTGGTGGTGGGCTAACTGTGAGAGCAATATGAAAGTACAGTGTGTGCGATTACTGGCACCAATATTTCTGCGGCACGTGCCCATTATGAATCACGATGCAACAACATATTACGGGAGCTTAAACAGCTTTGCCGGTTTAAACAATGGAGATGATCATAATCCTTGATTTTAGGCGTGTGGTTGTCGCAATCGCACCTATAGTAGTAGTTCGTGCGGCCCGGCGTACGCCTTGGTGAATGTTAGTGAACATATGATTTTCCTCGCGCTGGCAAACTCGCCTGCGTTTGAGACTTGCTTCGCCAGGTGCCGCAATGAACGCAGCTGCTCACAAGCAAGCCAACTGTTCTTTCATTTACCTCACTGTTTGTCATCATTATTCTGCCGGTCAATTGACTCTCATCTTATGTTAAATTATGCGCTGATATTATACGCGTCATCGTTTTATTCTTTAGACTGCCATTGTCCGAATATCCTCGAGCGGAACTTCGTAAGAGAGACACCGGAGCGTCACTGGGCCCTGGCTGCGCGAATAACGGCGTGTCCCTTCTCACCTGCACCTGCGAGCCTTCGTATCCGGTAGTGTAGCACGCTGCGGTCGAAGCACAGCGAGAGCACGTAGTCGGGCCCACTTCGGCGCAGCAGGTACAGGCCGTCAGCGCATCCCCGCTCCCAGAGGATCCACTCGGCCGTCTCGCGACTCACGGAGCCGTAGAAACAGGCCGCTTCCTCCAGGGGCTCCGCCGAATCACCCCCGTCCCCGTCCTCGTCGGCGGCGCCGCAGCACGACGGCTCGGCCGACAGCGTCACGCCTCCGCCCACGCTGCCAGCCCTGCGACGACAACAGGGAACACGTTGTAGCGAGTTTAAAGAGGACAGCACGGGAGTGTGCCCAAGTTGCACCTCGTTTACTAAACATTCATTAGGTCAAAAGGTCCACATGCTTAATCAAACGCCATTATTGATATGGCGTCAAAACACGCGATGCAAAAAAAAGTTCACATGATGACGTCATCATGACATCGTGCATTACAAAAGCTATGAGGTTATCGTAGTGTCAATAAGACGTCAAATGACGAGCTGTTAAATGATGACATTATTGCGGGGTATCGTCACTTGACCAAACATGGTCCCATCACAAGGTAGTTTAGATCCAGGGGAGGTACGCAAAGGTTGCAAATGCCACAATTAGAGAGACATTGTGAAACGACGTTAGTACAGGAAGTTCGCAGTGTGATGATGATCAATGCATTAACTGAGAAGAAAAAAAATCTCAGCATATTCACGGAGTGCGTCATGATGAGTGGCGCGAAGCGTCCGTCAGACCATTCGCACCTCCGTCCATCCATTTGTTCTTGGTTCCGTCCCTCCGTGCTTCCGTCTATGCGACCGTCCATGCATTCGTCGGTCTGTTCGTCTATCCATCCATCCATACGTCCATCTGTGCGTTCGTCCATTCGTTCGTGCATCTGTCCATCTGTCCATCAATCTATTAACACTCCAAGTACTGCCATCTCGCATTTTTTCATCATATATTCATCATGTAGAAGTACCGCCATCCAGCGGACATTGCAAGGACTAAACGAGAGGTAGTATGGCCGGACTAGAGAGGCGGCATGTGCGCACTTTTTTACGACGTGCGGTTCGTGTGGAGTTCCCATCCTTCACAGCCGCTAGTTCATGGCACTGCGGCCCAACCTCAAGTCAAATCGAATCAAGTTTTATTATTTCATAATAACATGTACGAAAAAGGATACAGAGAAGGAAGTTCCGTAGTATACACTGAAATGGGACCTCCTATGAAACGTATACATAAGTGTATGTTTTGGCGACAACAGTGCAAAAATGAGGGAATACAAGGTTAAAAAACGAAATGCTGATACAATAAATGACCATGCTCTCATTAACTATATGCAATTGGAAATATTAAGTGTAAAACATATTAATATATATATCTATATGGATAGCACGAGATGAGAAAAAAACAAGAGACTGAGAAAGAGAATGACAGAGCGAGGCAAAAAACTGGTTAAGCAGAAGAGTCACTAAACCTTGTTAAAACCAAGGAGGTTACACCCAGCGAGTTTAACGTGGCAAACATATCTGGTCAGATATGCCGAAAGCGCGTCCTTCTTTTACTAGTTTTTTTAAGCATCAAATTCAAGGAAAATTTTTATTGAAATTAAGTGACCGACACTCGTCTCTGTAGGTTAGTTCATCAGAAACAACTATTTATGGCTAACGCGTGCGGCTTTCCTCCTCAATATAAAGGAGTGCACGCTTGCTGCTCCTCTAGTCCTGCCGTGGAAGTGGCTACCTACTACTACTACTACTACTACTACTACTACTACTACTACTACTACTACTACTACTACTACATAAATCGCGGACGCACGACCCGCGGCTTAAGGAGCTTCGCCCCTAAAACAAGGCTTTCATCTTGGAGCCGTCTTAAAGGAATGCATGGGTGACCCTGTGTGGCATTGACGTAGGCCTATTAGGGTGAGATGGTAATCAGGAGTAAGAAAATAGGTAATTATACGACGTCTACGTGCAATATACAGTATACTGTTGGCCATTGAAAGCAATGTCACAGCCTACTCTTCTTTTTTATATACTTGGTGTTCAAAGTAAAGCTGTATGATTTTCTTGGGAACTTAACACTGGTAAGACATGAAAACGACCTCTGCAGATAACTCATGTATCCAGGAGGACACAAAGTTATACAATAATTGTGGCTGTAAGTGGCCCAATCAACCAAGAATAAATATATGATATTTAAGTGACTGAAGCAAGTGGGAATATCTGTGTTGAGAAGTTGGGGACACTCGCATTTCTACACGGTTACACTTAACACAATTCATCTAGCACGGCTTAGCTTCGAGATATGTAGTGGCGAACTTTTATGGTGCAGTGCTTGATTATGCATGCAATGCGGCAACGATCGGCGCAATGTTCCTCCCCGGTGTGACGGATTATCATAGCTTCATATCGTCAGCCGGCAGTGAAATGGCAATTGCTATCATCGTTGCAAATTCCTTCAACCCGTTGTCAGATTAAACGACGCGCACTGTGGTTATGGCCCATCGGGCAGGAGCTTCGCAGCAGCACTGACTGTATTGCATACGTAATTAGGCAAAGCACAATAAGAAACAGAAGCTCAAGTTTGCGGCGCGACGCCGACGCCGCGCCTGGCTCTGGCGGCGAGCTCCGGAAAACTTGAGGAGAGACGCGGGAGAGGTCGTAGGCGAGTGTTTCACCGAAACGGGAGTGCGTGCGACACGCGCGCAACGCTGCGCCGTGCTCCCGTCCGGGTTGCAGAGGATTCGCTCGCAGGATTTCAAGCTGGACGGTTGTGCCCTCGCGATCTCCGACATCAGCGTAGCTCCCGCCGACTGGTTCGCCCTCCGCGGTCTCCTGACGCCGTGCAGCTCTCGCATTGTGGCACCCCGCCCTTGGACTGCTTCGACCGGATCCCCACTTTCCTATCTCCTTCTTTTTTCCTCTCGTTGGCTGGCTTCTTCTCCGTCTATTTTCCTTCTATTCTTTTTATCCCTCCTTCTTTTTCCCTATATCTTTTATTCCCCATATCCCATTCCTCTGCTGACCTGTTGAGGTGTCCTCGTAAGGAGAGACAGTTACGGGTCGGCACCTTTCTTTTCTTTTCTTCTGATATAACCACTTATATAGGGTTGCAGAAATTAGGTGCCTTTTCTCATCTTCTGACCATTACCACCACCAGTTGGTGCGGGGAACTTCGGCGCCTTGCCGTCAGCTTGGCACGCTAGAACGAGACGCTCGCTGTGCGAAGTTGCCTTTCCGCGATAGAAGAAGCGGCCTAATGGAAGCGTCGGCGGGGTCCGCAGTATTGTCTTGTTGTAGGCTGCCACAAAAATGCAGAAAACACCAAGGGACGCTCTCCAGGTGTAAAGCTGTATCAGTTTCCTATCTAGTCACAGCCGCCGAACACAGCCGCGTTTGCAACAGATAGAGCAAGCATGACGGGAGAGACGAAAAAACAACAACAAAAAAACGAGGCGAGCACTTCGACCTAACTCGCTGGGAATAAAGCTCAGCCGGCTGCTTCACGGCCAAGTCAAGGGGTCAGGTTAAGGTGGCACGGAGGACATGACGCTAAAACTTGTAGGACATTTTTATGCTATGACTGCATAACGTTAGTTCTTACATGTTTTTTCAACACGCCAGAAATGTTTCCAAATGACAGTACACAGATGCCACTGCTAGATGCCATATCAAAACAACAATTATATTGTTTTCTTAAACGTGAACGCAGTACATCGATGCCGGCGGTGGAATGATATTTACCTCGAGGCATACGTTGCACATGGACCTCGGAAATGCATTGCGCAGTGACTCGGGCGTTCTCGTGTTCCGTCGTCTCTTCCACATAATAAACTTGGCTTATGCGTCTTACTCCTTCTGTTAGATTCGCTTCTCGGAAGTGCTTGTCTAGCTCAGAGATCCTTATGAAGCCGCACTGCGAGCGGTACATTGTGAGGTGACTGAAACGCACCGCGCTCTCTGCACGAGTACGTAAGCGAGCGGCAGCGCATTGGCGGGAAGGGAAAACGCGTGATATACATCCACGATTTCTACTTTTCTACCAAGGATGACGCGGCCTGTCCACAGTTGCAGCGCCACCATGCGTTGCTTTGGCTTCCTATTAAACTTTACCACGGGATATCTTTGAGCACAGACATGCTAGCGGAATCCCTCCAAGTGGAACTGTGTAAAAACGTAACTTCTTCAAACTTTTCAATTCAAATGTGTCTGCTTGCTGCAGTCACTGAAAAGTTATTTATTAAATATAAGTGAATTAGGACAATGGCAACCATAACTATTTTCTTCCTTTGCGTACCTCTGGAAGCATAAGTTCTTTACAAAGGTGGTTTTGATGCTCTTAAAAAATGCTGAATTAAAAAAAAATGTAAAGCTTGACACCCGGTATAGTACACTCTAAGAAAAAGAAAACGTGGTGTGTATTGATCTTTGGGTGAGCCTTGACTCTCTTTGAAGACACGCGCTAACTTTTTTCAATATGTCGCAATTTTCGCGACTCGTTGAAGAAAAAAATGCTAATCTAAAAAGAGAGATAAAGTATATTTTTGAAGATAATTATATGTGTTACGAGGCCGGAATGGCCAAAACTAGCAGCCGGGCTACTTTTGCTTAGTGTGTAGCTCTTTTTAACTAGTATCTAGAGGACTCAGTAGGTTGGTTTGAACAAAATATTCCCGTACCATCTTAACGGTTACATTTTTCATCAATTAAGAACCAGCATTATTGAGTGGAGTGGCTATTCGTAATCAAAAGTGAACGTTGGCGAATGGAATGTATTCAACCTGTTTTTTTTTTATTTTTGAAGCTGGACAAATCCTTTCCAGCTTAAGGAATGCAGAAACGTACCGTATCCACATGTTGTATGAAAGGTAGATGCGATTACGGGTCGAGTTATTGTAATTTATTTTACCAGATGTCAATTCAAAACCATGCCAAAAATGACAATGCAAGGACGAGCTATGACTTCATTCGCACTACGAAGCCTATACTCCCAACGCATTTCTTTTTTTTTTCTTCTGTGTTGGCATTTTGTCACAAGGTTACCTGAATACAGACGGTGCTGACTACAAAAATGTAATTTATCAACCTCTCTTTTCTAATGACCTGATGTACTGAAACAGGTTCAACAGAACGCGTAATCTTGGATTTCACGTGTGCCTTGTATACGTGCGGAAGCATAGATGTTTTCATAGCGCACCTCCACATGCTCCTATGAAATAACATCGATTTCTTTCAGTATGGAAACAGGTATTTACAAAAGAAATGTTTATATCAAGCGTACCACGCATGATACATTGTGGTGCCGCATTTGAGCACAGTCCGTCTCACATTCCACCCGCTTTGCGACTTCAGCTTCTGTTCACTTGTCTATGACTTGTGCTGGGGAACTACCAGTGCAAACATTGCCGAGTCGACCCGTTGCCCGACTGAATCTTTGTACGGATGAAAGCTTCCTCTCTGCTGCCATTCATTTAACGCCGTTAGTGGCTGCAACAACGCCCTTAGACGTTTCTTCCCGCCTGCAGCGTGCGGTTTGCTGGAGCTGGGACGGTTCTTACGCAAGCGCGTCGTTCGGGGTAATCGAATTGCTGGAACAGCGAGCAAGGAACGGCACGCAGTAGCCTATATACAGGAGAAGACGCGGGAGGTTGAAGAACCGCAGACTCCAGGAGCTCCCTCGAAGCTCTGTAATCGACGCTCGTTGAAACGTTCTGCAGTTTCGAAAACGATGAGCAAAGAGGGGAAAGATTGCGTTATAGGAAAGCACTCACTCCTCTCTTCTCCTACTCTCGACTAACGCCGAGCAAAAGGCCAG